AGTACATCTTCAATAACGAAATCTGATCAAATCCCAAACCGGAATGTTATAATATACTAATTTTGCCTCCTATTTATTAATATATGTTATTTTTTGCATTTTTACACACACACACAAAAAAAAAAACTCATATTAACTCATGAGCAATGTGTTACCAAAATTATGTACGTCAGGATAAAAACTGCATAGTCTTTTGGTTGGCAAGCACGTAAGGACAACAGATGGACAAAGTGCATTACTGAATGATACTGAAGCAAAATATTAGACCAGCAGTGACAAAAAAATCACCGATCAGACAAACTGAATCATATGTAAGTCCAGTGTGGAGCAGTGCGAATGTGACAAGCTTAAAACTCCGGAAAATCTGTTACCCCCGCAATTTTGGCTGCGATGAGGGGCTTAGCGACAACTGCCACCAAGGGTTTAAAAGCTAATCCAAAATATTGTCAAACTGAGCGAACCTGGTCGAGAAATCACGAAGATGGCTTGGCGGATCCGGTGGTGGTGCCAGCAGGGATGACGTCGATGCCAGTGCCAGCGATGAACCACTGCCCGGACATGCTGATATGCCTGCGTTGCCATAGGCGCTCGGTCCAGTACCATTTAAAGCTGCAAATATTAATCGAACCATAAAAATACCCCGAAAAAATAAGAAATTTTAAGAAAACTGGTGGACAGTAACTTCCAGGCAAATTGAGAATAATTCAACAGAAAATTATAATAGGAAAGAATGGAGAAAAGCGCAAAAAAAAGAAGAAAGCAAGAAATGAAAATTTGGAAATTTTTTAGATTATTAAATCGGTTAGAAGTGTTTTGGTCCAATTAAGTCGTATACATTTCTTACCATTACCACAACTGGATCTTGTCAGTACGATGACTGTGGCAACTGAATTTAGTGAAGGCTAAATTTGATGGTTAGTAATATAGAACGATATCACACTTCCAAATAAAACAACTAGCAGACAAATTTCGCGCCCCCAAAGGCGAAAAGTGACGGAAAAAAGGGGAAGAAAAAGATGGAGACATCTTTTTTTTCTACTAAAGCATTTGTTGGAAATTGAAATTACTTTGCTGACATTTAATGAATTGAAAACTTGATAAATTTAATAGAAATTGAATCTGAAATATGAATAAATTTTTTTGAATTTGAATTTGAATAAACTGAAAAAGTTGGATAAAAATTGGATTTGAAAATAAAAAATTGAAAAAAAAGCAAATTAAAAAAAATGAAAAAATAAAAATTTAATGAAAAAATAAACTGATATATATATATATAAATAAAAATAAATAAATATAAATAAAAAAAAAATAAATTGAAAGCAGCGTTTACTGAAAAAAAATATTTTCTAAAAAAGTGACTTTTCCTCGTTTAAAAATCACTTTAATCAAATCGCATTGGAAAAAATCACTTTAAAAAAAATCACAAAAAA